GGTCGCGGTCTCCCCCTGCCGGAATTACCTTTTGCTTAAGGACACAGTTTTCTTGGCAGGTACCTGCAAGCTGTTACTGTTACTTCCCTCAGTTCCCATTAATCCTGGACCTTGACAACTACTTGCATTCTTCTAGTCCTATGTATGTATTATAAATCAGTTTACAAATCACCTCATGTTTTGTTACCTAGGTTCTAACCGTTCCTACTAAACAATTATGACCAGCCCCTTCAGCCTTAGTACAGGGCTGTACAGGGGATTTTAGAGTAGCAGTCAGTTGCTAGATTCAAAATACAATAAATGTAAAATTATTTTTACTAATATATCCCTTAATTCTATATTTATATTAAAATCAAACAATTTAATTTTAATTGATAATAAAATCAGTAACATTTCCCCCCTTTGAAAGTGTTGAAAATCATTTCAATATTTTCACACTTTTATTCATTTTTATCTTTGAAGTCAAAGTTTGTCTTGCCAGATGATGGTGGTGGCGGGCTGTAGTCTGGTGGTATAGTGGGTACTTCTCTTATAATTTTATTATTATTATTATAATTTTTTATTATTATTATTATTTATTATATAATAATATATTATAATAATAATTATTATAATATAATAAGCCTATTAGTAAACTGTATGTTACCAATATAATCATCAAAAGGACAATTAATAGCAAAAATAGAATTTTGATTAAGTATTTCAGCCAAGAGCTCAAATTCTAATCCACTAAAAATTTTCCTAGTAAATTTTTTGACCTATTTTCTCGAATGGTTTCTGTTTCTTTTTCGATTTTGCCTAACAGATCTAAGTCATGTTCTACATCCTGTGTAACATTCAGGATATGAATACAGCAATGATCTAATCTATCATTGAGATATCCACACACTCCACGCCCTTTTAACAGAAGCATGTCTAGTGTCATCGTGTTTTCAAGTGTCATTGTAGAAGTTGCCTGTAATTGTATGTTTAATTCTTTAAATCCTTTTCTTGTAATATTGGCCAATTTTTCTACTTGTCCTGTTAAGTGATAAAGCCATTCTCTATTTTTATAGGACGCTATTGGGTTCAAAAGAGACTCTAAAGTCCAGCCAATTTTTACTCCTGTTGATGGTTCATTCCAAGTGTTATCATCTGTTTCAGACTTTTTGATTCGTTGTAATTTTAAGTTTTCCAGGGATCCCTTGAATGGTGATTTCTTCCAAATTGGACAAGGTTGGCAGGCCTAAAGTAATTTGTTTCACCTTACTATCTACTGGTAAGTGGGTTGTCCAGGTGCCATCACTTAATGCTCAAACTAAATGTCTTGGACTATGAATGGTAGATTTCTTACAGCTAGAAAAGTATCCTCTTCTGGGTATAAAGATACTAGTCATGGTGAGATTATTATGAAAACCTCGGCAATAACAACCAAACTTTAAAGTAGCTGCCAAATGAGGAATTCTTTGAATTATTAAGTCTGCATTGCTGCAATCATACACCTTTTCACATTTCTACCGTAGTACTACATGTTCCTTTTCTTTTTGGGTAGTGCCTTTATCTACTATCGAGGGAAGGATTGCAAACACTCTATTAATCCAGGTACTGTCCTAAGTAAAACACCAAGGGGTTCTGGCCATGTGCTGAAATCGTAAGAATATGGACATA